GCCATTTATGACCAATAACATACATTGCTGATAGAACAAAATTTCTACGTAATGAAAACAAATAATGCATGTTTCGCAGTCGACCTGTCGTTGTATTTCGATTTATGGGATTACTTCTCGGTAAAATTGGCCCTTGGTATATTGTTCTGGACGGGACGATTTTTCCGTCGTGGAAAAGAACAAAAGTCTTGCAATTACTCACATACATACACACATTTTTTTTAAAAAAAGTGTGCCAAAATGTTCAGAAAACTTTAAAACGTAAAGATATGAAAAAAATATTTTTGAATATTTGCATTTACTCTAACTTACCCTACGTGATGTCTCGTGATTTTTTTGTCAAACTTTTCCTCCCACTAAAAACCTCACGTGATTAATGGACTTTCTTAGCGTCAAGAAAGACGCACCTGCACAATTCTGTTTACTGCGTCGGTCTGCGGGGAATAATAGCTGTGACAATATTATGCAAGGTGGTAATCGTTTTAAACGGCTTTTGAAAAAAATAACATTTTTTTTAACGAAATTTTATAACTTAGCATTTACACCAATAAACATTATACACTAAACTATAATTTGCTTGTATCTACAATAACATTTCCATTGTTTTACTATCAAAATACAACACTTCAAAATGTATGTTACAATTACGAATTCTTATTAGTCTAGTCTATCATGAAAATATGTATATGAGATGGAAACTCCCCGTTTTATGATCAAAACTAAGTTTTATGTGTGTATAAGCTAGTTTGTTCGAAATACCAAAGCTAAGAGCTTTATTGTTTTTCATCAGTTTTTATTTAAAATTGATAGTGTGAATTTATTGAAGGTGAGCAAATGACAGAATATTTTTTTACAAATTATATAATTTATATAAAATTTTACAGTTTGACAAAGGCAGAAGATAAAAATGAAAAGCTAGAGAGTATAATAAAAGTTGTCTTTATAAATCAAAATTAAAATTTGGAACCTTGTCCGTAATAATGAGGGTGCTAATATTATGAATGAAGCTATAATTTTATGAATATGTTTGGCATTAAATATATTAATTTTTATTTTTTGCTCAATGTGTTTGTTATTCATTATATTAAATACTAACAAACAGAGCTTTTCTATAGTGGATTTCGAGGAAATTTCTCGAGTTATATGATTTTTTTATAGAATCCATCTTTCGTATAAATTGGGGCATAGGTGTATTTTTATTCAGCGTCAAATAGAAACGAAGAAAAAATATCTGGGATTTTGATGAAACTTCGCATGGTGATAAAGTTGATAGTCAAACCAAACCCCATAAAACATTATAGGCCTATGACAAGTGGTTTAAAAAGTTAAAATCGTCCCGTTCCGTATAATGTATCAGCACCCATTTCAATTATTTTATGTTATACGTTGCGGTCATCGAAGAATGCAGGTGTGAAGATATTGATATATGGGTAAACTTGCAATTTGCTTTCAATTCGTTTCAAATACGAGTTATTTTCATACTAAGCTTTTTGTATACCGTCAGAAGCGTGAAAAATTGGAATTTTTATCGATAAAATGTTGCTTTTCAGGAAATTGAAGAATATATAAAATGAAATCTCTTAGGCATGTGATGATTGAACATACATCTTTATATCATATTTTGATGGCGTTATATAGATGGCATAGCGGTATAACTAAAAAGTGATAACAGTAATTAGTAATGGATGAAAGGTATCGACATTGAAGAAATAAAATATTGTCCTACATATTTTTTGAATTGCATTGCACGATGATTATTTCACCATTCTGAATAACTTCATATATAATTTAATTAAAAGGGTTTTTACAACCGCAATATATTTCCTACAGATATACTGCAACTCAATCCGTAACCTAGAGTACATTTTGTAATTAATAAAAGCGAAAGTGCGTTATGAAATTATTATGTATAAGCTGAAATTTATGACTTGGAATAAAAATAAGAGAAGCGAATCAATGATTATTGAACACAAGAGAAAACCTGTTAGTGAATTTTGTGTGATATTAAGTAAAATGAAATATATAGGAGGATGACATAAATTCCTCTTCGCTTACACCAGACATGTGCCTGAGCATTCGACGACTTTGTGCAGACTGTTGTGCAGGTTGAAAATATTATATTGATAATAGATATATTGATACAATCTTACTTAATTGATTTATATGAACGAATTTTATTATATTAGTATTTATATTAAGAAATTGCATTTTCAGCAGATTTGTTTTAGAAACGTTTTATGGACATGTCGAATTCATACATGAGGAGTTGGAAAAACCATTAACCATCCCAAACCATCCCAAATATACATGAACCTTGATTTTTTTTCCTAAAATATTTTTGATTATCTTCAATTTGTTTACATATTTACTAATAATTTATTTATCTTTACATTATTTTACTTGATCTTGAAATTATGCAGGGGTCCCAGCACTCAACGTCAACCAAAACTGGGTGATAGTATTTATCGTAATAGTCCTAAAAAAAAATAAAAAAAAAAATCTCACGTTGTTTGAAAATTGAGCTATTAAGTGCAACCTAGAGAAATTGTGACAATTTTTCGGCTATTGTGGTCGATTTTTATTAATTCTGTGTTTATTTGATCTTTGGAACCGTAACATATAAGCATTAAAACTCTTTTTTATTGTTATTCTTGGCTACATATATGGCTTACATTTAATTTGTGTTTTGGACTTCCTATCTGCCGAGCAATTTAAGTGAAGATTTTTTTTGCTCACACTGCAAAACTTTGAATGCGAATATCTTGAAAACCATTGGACGAATTTTCATAAAATTTCTATAGCATTTTACTAACTTCATAATTAATAAACGCTATGAGTTTTATCCAAATCCTAGCTACTAACTAATACACTAAATTTTAGTGTATTTGATGAGGCTATTTTCCGTGTTTTCAGCGAATTTAACCCGGAAAACTTCTATTTTCTTCTTTTTTATTCTTGGCTATATATCCAGTTTGGACCCTCTATATACCCTACACGCCGAGCAATCGTCAAAAAGGTGATGTTCATTTTTGCTAATTTTAAACACTGCAAATCTTTGAATGCGAATATCTCGAAAACTAATAGACGATTTGTCATAAAATCTCTGTTAATTTCATTTTACTAACTTCTAAAGAATTTGAGTAATAGTCCAATCTGGATTGAAACAACTGCAGAGCCAGAGCAGATTTTTTACTCCTATTTAAAAGGCATATACAAATATTTTGTTTCCTCCAATTTTGTAACATATTTATTGAAAAACTTACCATATTCTCACTGTATCTTGGTTTGCCCTGATTTGTGGGATTGTGTACTTTGGTTGCCACCTCTTCATATATTTTATATGTTAATATTAAAAATATTTAGATAAATGGGCCGATTCTGCCATAAAAAAGACCAATGTTATGGCAATGACTATGTTATGTAGCTGTTTTCATACAAAATCGTACTAAATACTGTGAAAAGCAATGTGGTTGCTGTGCAGTCAGGCGTTTTAGATAGATAGATTAATTTAGATATATTAAAACCTAATATAACTGGATCATTGTGGTGAGCATAGCTCTTTGGTAGCGTGTTCGACTCACACAATAGGGATCTTTGGATCGAATCCTGTCATTGAATTCAAGAATATAAATATATATATATATATATATATATATATATATATTATATATATATAGTTAATTTGAAATTAAATAGAATTGGATTTGCTAAGTAGAATTTGAGTAAAAATTAGGAGTAAGAATAGAAATTACAGAATTTGAATAGCTGAGTTGTATTAGGAGTAAGAAGAAAAAAATTAGAACTATCTGAGATTAGAAGAAGAATGAAGAAATAAAATGGAAGGAAGATAGGAATTGAATAGAATTAGAAATTTGAAATGAAAGAGCAAGAATTAAAGAGAGAGAACGACGAAGTCAAAATTGAAGAAAAATAATTCAAAGTTATTGAAGAGAAAAAAAAATAAAAATATAGAATAGTATATATAAGATTGAACAACATATAAAAAAGACTCGATCTTTCTGATATGGCTTAAAACCGTTTGAGTGAAATAGCATTTCATGTGTAAAGCGCCTCATCGTACAGCAAATGCATGACTTCGTAACATAAGGACCGATTCTGCCGCATAACAGAAAAATGTTATGGCAAGGTCGTGTTATGAAGAACTTTCCATACTAATATTGACAAAAGCCAAGCGGTTGGTGTGCAGTCAGGCAAATTTCGCAGGTTTTCTGATACAAAACATAACTTGAAAGCTGCACAAATGTCAAAAAAACGATGTTAGATAAGAGTGTGTTTTTGATACTGCTCCGTAACATACAAGTGACGTTGCAGTTCGTGCAAAACGCATGAATGAACAGTAAGCACATGACATTTTGATAGTATTCAGTATGATTCATTAACATAATGTATGGAAATGCGTAACATGGCTTTGCCGTAACTTTTCTGTTATGCGGCAGAATCGGTCCCATAGCCTTGCTATAAAATTGGTCTATTTTACGGCAGAATCGGCCCATAAATTTTTGTTGCAAGAATTCTGTTATGAATAATATTGTAGCTGAATAGTTTTGGATACAATTTGTATTTCAATCATTTATATGCGAATGTGAGAGAAATTGTAATGATTAACAACAAATGTCTTTCCCTTTCACATAAATTCTCGTTGCAAGAATTCTGTTATGAATAATATTGTAGCTGAATAGTTTTGCATACAATATGTATTTCAATCATATGAAATTGTAATGATTAACAACAAATGTATCCTTTCCTTCCAGGTCGTGCAGCTCACCAGAAACCTCCTCGATCATTCCACTCCAACAATGCATCGGCCGCTTCGCACGCCGGTAGGTCCGGCAGTCCGTCCGCTTCAATCGCAACCACGACCGACGAAGAGGGTGGCTTCAACGACCCTTCGCCCGAAATCGTCGCCAGATTGCGACCCCACGCACTGGCGGTCAACAGTCCAACAACGAATAATTTATCGACAATTATTAATAATAATTCATCGACAGTTGTTCCCCAACTTGCCTCTGCCGATACATCTCCACAGTATACGAATGTCGTATCACACGCCTCTTGCTATTTGCAGCAGTCTCCTTCTTCAGTCAATGGAGGCCAAATTGGCGGATCAGCAGGAAATACGCCGTCCACACCTCCGTCTTATGCGTTGCCAATATCATGTCCGACTGCGCCGGGCGTTATTAAAAATTCTGTGCTGCGAGAAATGGAATCGGAAGAGAGGCGACACGTGGAAGAAAAGCCTGTCGCAGGTAATTTGTAACAAAAATGTATTAGGTTTACATTTGAGACTTTAGTCTTTTGATGTAAGATTTACGACACACATTTGTTTGCTTGGAACTTGATAAATTATTTTTTCTGACTACACTGCTTTTCTCAATCACCTCTGTATTTTATACACTTACTGCTAGGTAAAACGTCAGTGTGTAGGTTTATGGATAACATAGAAATATTTCAGTAGGCATATTTAAGCGATAATTTTATAAAAAGATATTAAAATATTTTATATTTATGCTACGCTCTGCATTGATTTTCGAATTGTTTTTATATAGTGAAATTTATTAACTTCCCGTAGGGTAGGTTATAGTTATCGCAAAAAAATCGCGAATGAAATTTTTTATATATCTTTACGTTTCAAAGGTTTCTGAACATATGCCAAATGTTCAGAAACCTTTGAAACGTAAATAAAATAACCTATAAATAATTGATAAATTTCGACGCAAATCTGAATATTAAACACAAATGTGCTTCATTTATTTATAACTTAAAGGTAAATAATAGTTAAAATTTAAACGTAAAAATATATAAAACTTTTCATTCAAACCTTAGCAAAAATAGATGTGTGTATGTGCTTGTGTATATATGTTTGGATACAAATTTTCGTCAACGATTTTGTGAACACGGACAACCGATTTGAGTAATTCAAAAAAATATTCGATATTTATTGACGGGGGAGCGTGTTGATTAGTTTTTGCCAGAGGCAGGTTCAGCCGTTTCGAAGATACGTGGTAAAAAGTGCTAAAAACGGCAATTCAGTTTTTAAGATAACTGATTTGAATGGTTCAAAAAACATTTTATTAGTATTGACGAAATGGAGAACTGATAAATTTTTAGGAAGGTAGGTCTAGCGGGTTCGGAGGTCCAGGAAGAAATTAAAAAAAATTGTTATTTAGCGGTCAAAAATGATCAAACTAGACATATGCACATCAAATTATCAGATATACGAAAAACTAAAAATTGGTAATTAGTTGGGTTTTTTCATTTTTTTTAAACTGATTAATAATTTTAAATTCAATATTATCTTATATCTTATAAATCTTATTTTAATCAAACTCTTTGGTTTCATTTTTCTATGTTTTACTTAAAGTAATAATTAGAAATTATTATAAATGAAACATTAATTATATTATCATTTGTTTATAAATATTTGTGTTCAATATTCAGGTTTACGTTGAAATTGATCAATTATTTGTAGCCTATTTTATTTAATTAGTAACGTTGATAGTTGTTTTCTCCTAGAATAAATATTTACAGATTAATTTTTTTAAAATGTATATCTAGTTATGATTATAAAAATTATTTTTTTCTAAAAACATGATAAAGGCCGAAAGTATTATTGTATTAGCCCAAGAAATAAATCGTACATCAAATATTCGATATAAAAAAATTCAATAGAGCTCATACAAAAAAATTGAAAATAAATCAATAAAAAGCTATATATTTATCTGAATTATTCTCTGTAGTAAATTAATTCTGCATAAATTATTCATATACTATAATTAAGTTCAATTTCTAACATCTAACCGGTATTAAATTTAAAGCCGAGTATAAAAAGTAGAATATTTACCAGAAACGATTTTTTGCCTTTGACCTCAAGCAATTTACTTGGAAGAGTTCATGCCATTCTTACTTGTGTACACTTACAAGTTGTTCTAACAACTTTTTCTCATTTAATTTACATGTTAGTGAATCAAAAACTGTACACTTAAAATGCATATATTTCAATTATCATTTATTTTTATTTTTAAATTCTCAGCACAAGAAGTAGACTTGTCAGCTTTATATAGTTGCGTGAACAAGCACCGGGCAGAGCCGGTTCATGCAGTTCCTGCAATTTCTAAACCCGAAACTGTTTTATACCATGAACCAGAAATTGGTAACGGATACGACGATGAAGATGCTTTATACTGCCAACCAGAAGAATTTATGAGATCGCCAGTACAAGTAACGCAGTACATACAAGATGTTACCACGCCGGAGATGATTAGAAATAACGTGAGTTTTATATTAAGATTGTTAAATTGTTGAATTGCTAATAACTGCAAATAACTTCGAAACTAGACAGTCCAGATTTTTCAACTGGTGGAACCAGAAGTCGTGGAATGAGATTGTGCTATGTTAGTCTATTATTTGTAATTCCACTGTTGTAAAGCAGGCTTGGTTTAATATACGTATGCATTGGATATGTAGTCATTGATATATCTTTTTACAACAATACTAATGATAGTTTTAGACATTCATATCTAATTATAGTTATGTCCAAAACTATCCACATTTTGATCGTAACTTAAATGATTGAAATAATGTCATCAAAACCAAACCAAATAAATGAAGTTTATTTTTCACCAGAAAATTCGATTGGCTAATTTTGTTTTTTTGACGATTCAAGCCCTTCTGATTCGTTTGATACCAAATTCAAAGTATATGTAGCCAAAGTGAGCGTAATCGAAAATTTTAAGATGCATTGCGAACGCACCCTGGTATATTACCACACTATAAGCGGGGCGGGTAAAAATACCCATCTCGAGGGAGGGCATTTCAATGTAAATTTAGGACATTTTTTACATTTATTTTAACGAATTAAAATTTTCATACCAACCATTTTAATTTGTATACATTAGTAAAATCTAGATAAAATTGGACGTGGATTTTGATCAATTTTTTGTATTTTTTTGAAATCCTTGGATATCTTGCACCGGACACTTTGTTTTATATACATCAGCGAAAACTAGATAAAATTTACTAATATCAAGTAAAAACTGTTATATACACTTGGATATTGAACTTTTGAATCATTCGTAGTTGAAATGCAGACTTCAGTATTTTGATAATTTGCTAGAACATTTTTGACTTTTCTTCAAATAACTTTTAATTTTTATTTTGGGATTAATGATTTGTTTACATTATTAAAAACTAAATAAAATTTACTAAAATCTTATAGAAACAGTTATATACACTTGTGTATCAAAAATTTGAATAAAATGAGTTCCAATAGCATTAAAGAGGCTTTGTTATACATAGATTGTTTTGTACGACCTTTTTCGTAATTTCCTGAAATAAACTTTTTTTTATAATTTAAATCCCATTGCTTCAAATTGCAAAGATGTATAATTTATATTTAATCGTAATAATCGATAATAATAAATATAAATAGACTTCAAGCAACAGTACATAGAGTGGCACTCTACATAAAGACTTGAAAATAAAAACTATTAATGAGGAAATAAAAAAAGAAGCAAAAAATACCACAAAATATTAACATCAAACAAACAAATATTTAAAGAATTAAATAAGAAATCTCCTACTCGAGGATTGAAGAAAAAATGGTCATACGATCTTAAATGAAATGTTAAGAAAAAGAGATATCTCATAGGAGATAAACTCTTTATATGCATTTACACCCAGCATATTGTCTTAAAAAATTATATTATTTTGATCGGCAATAAATCTATGCAAAAAAATTGCCGCAATAGTTTGACCTTTTCTTTGGCATTTTCTCCAAAAAACGACTGAAACGATTTCAAAAGTGTAATAGCCATTTTGTGTATCTCAATAAGAACTCCCAATAATTAGTTTGCGAGATGATGAAGAAAAGTTGCAACATTGTTTGTCTATAATCTATATCTTTGCAAAATACCCCAAACCAACCCCAAGTAATTTTATAAGTGGCTAAATCACAATTCTTGTTGAATCGATTATTACACATTTAGAGAAGTTTTTGTAACTTTTACTTATTGCCTATTTATTTTTCATTTATTGCTATCTGATCTGATGGAATCTTTACAAACACGTTTCTCGTTGAAATTTTAAGTATGAGAATCACGTTCGAACACATGTTCCAAACATGTTGTTCGATTGGCACTCTCTAGAATGGCTAACTTATGCGTCATTATTATAAAATTTTATGTATATTGAAAGTGTTGTTTTACATCTATGACTCCACTGACTAAGATTTTGTGTCCAATTTTCTTTTCCAGGATTCAGCACTGGATTTGCAAGATGTCAAATTTGCTGATGCCGACCTTAGCGATGAGGATAGTACTGCGGCAGATATCATTAAACAAAATGATATTTCTGAACAGAATGGTGGAGCGGAAATATTGTCTGATATTATTACTCCACCTGGTAGTTTATCTGACAATGGTGCATCTCTTCCTGAAACCATGACGCCGGATGAAGCTGAGCATTTACTCAGCACCAGGTAAACACAAAACAATTACGTCGGCATGATATTATTTAGAAAGATATAGAAAGTCGTTTTTTGCATGAATATACTTTAGTCTTTTATAGTTGAATATTAATAAAATTGGCATTATAATGTAAATGTAATGTCTCGTTCAATTTTAAGTAAAACTTTTTCTAATGTATTGAATACTTCAATTTTTATTTCGCATGTAGGCATACATAAGATATTTTTTATATTAACAAGTTAACTGTGACGGTTATATTTGCCGATCACAGAAAAAGTTGCGCTGGTAAGATATCGGGCGAAAAATATAGCTTCATTCAAAAGTTTAATACTAAATTTTACTTCTTTGGGTAAAACATAAAAGTTATTTTAGAATTGAAATTGGGCTGAATACTAAATTTTACTTCTTTGGGTAAAACATAAAAGTTATTTTAAAATTGAAATTGAGCTGAAAATTTTACCAAAAAGGATAAATCTGAATTCTCATTGATTAAGTCAATTATTTACACATATCAAAAAAGTTTCTACCTAAATGCAACTTGCCTTGGCAAAATTCCATAACTTCTTATTTTATGCCTAAAATATTTTATGCATATCAAAATTTGGAAATAAGTTCTATTTTCCCAAAAAATTCTATTGAAATACCCAACGGTGACCGATTTATATGCGTGACGAATACACTCGTCAATACACAAAATTCTACTACTTCTTCATGACGAGTATACTCGTCATTCACAGTTAACTGGTTAATTGATTATGTGTGTTATGTGTTATTCGTTTTGTGTTATTTATATTGAGCATGTATTTTAAATCATTTTATGTTTTATTTTTACATGTATTTTTATATGCTATCAAGTTTTTTGTTAAACAAAATTTAGTTATTTGTCGAATTTCTATTTGTTTCTAACAGTTTTTTATAATTTTGTCTAGTATAATTTATCTAGTTTATATTCTGCGACAGAATTTACTAAAAAATAGTTAAGTAGTTTATTTATTTAGTTTTATAACGCTTATTTTTTCAACTACAATTTTGCTCTATTTTTTTTACTCCTACCTTCCACCTATTTCTGCTGCGTTTTTGCTGTCTATCTTCTTGTGTGACCGATTCTTCTTCTATTTGTGATTTAACATTGATGCAGAATCCTGGAGAAAAAACTGGGGTAAGTTTAGCAATAAGTTTGTTTCCATGAATTGTTTTCTTTATTTATTTTGTTGCATGCACTACATATTCAGAATGATCTCTATTGTTCTAGAATTGTACTAAAAAAATATGATTTTTGGGAGATACATTTCAATTTTTGGGAGCTCATCTTTAAGCTGGCCACATATCCTTTATAACGCGTTGGGTGCGAACCGTGTAATATACGAAACTCGAATATCTTTTTTCTAGTCATTCTTAGTTCTTGTACAAAATCGTGCTATAGAAGTGCAGTGTTATAGGAGGTCTACCAGAATTTCAGCTCCGCGTGATATGGGAACCGTTTTTCCAGAGTAGTATGCAAGTGGTTTGGGAATCGTTTTTCCAGAGTACCGCGTAATGGGAGGATTGACAAAAATAGTCTCTTCTATAATTCCTAAGTGCGAAGTCCCATGCAAAATTATATATGCATGATTATTTTTCAAAATTAAAATCATTTTTATCGTGGTCAATTGCATAAACACATGCTCATATCGTTCTTCTATCTACTATCCGAGGATTAAAACAAGACAAGTTCAATTTATTTATATATTGACAACAAATTTCATTTTATCCAGGAACCAGCCCTTACTCTCCGATGAAGAAGCACGAGAAATCACCCAACTTTTGGCTGCTCCAAAAGCCATACCAGCACTCGCAACGACTCCTGAAGAACATTATGCCGAACCAGAGACTATAACAGCCATCAGCGTGTCCGTGATTGAACCAGAAATTCCTGTACCTTGCATATTACCTGAAACAGTAGATGAAGCAGCACTTGCATCACTAGATACATCTGTAATATCTACAGCAACCGATAGTGCTATTACTATGGATGACTCCATGACATCGAGCCGAATGGATATTATGGAAGATTCAATGCTGTTGACGACAAGTCAAGTTAATGGTAAGAAACTTCTACACAACATGTATTTTAGTTACATGATATTGGTATATATTCTAAATTTATTTTCTAGAATCAGTAACAAGTTCAGTTACCAGTTTATCTGCAGAAACATCACGATCTGCACCGAATACAGCCAGTGTTGGTAGTAATATTGTTGTAGTGACAGAAGATGAACCAGGGATTTTTCCAGATTACCCACCAACTCAAACACCAGTCGTGGGAGTGGATAAGAGTGGTATTCATTACTTTGAGGATGGGCATTTCTGGATGGAAGTGCCTGGTTTGCCTGAAACGGATGACGATGAGGAGGATGACGTTGATTATTCACAAATATTTGTGAAGAAGGATACTAAAGTTAAATTCAGGTAATAAAAAATAATGAAAATTACAATCTTTAGACATCAATTAGCAACTTAAATTTGGGTAATTTTCATAATAATGAAAGCTACCTATCTCGTTAGATCCAACTAAACTTATTTTTTTATACAATTATAGTTGTGGACCGATGCAAGTTTTTTCAACATTTTCTGTGTCCGATTATGATCGTCGAAACGAAGATGTGGATCCTGTTGCTGCTAGTGCCGAATATGAATTAGAAAAACGAGTTGAAAAGATGAACGTGTTTCCTGTCCAATTACTAAAAGGAGCAGAAGGACTAGGACTCAGTATTATAGGTAATACATGGGCAATACTATGATTGAATTTGATGAAAACAATCGTTTTGATATTGAATTTCAATTAGATATTTTATTTTCTTCCTAGGTATGGGCGTTGGAGCAGACGCTGGTCTCGAAAAATTAGGTATATTTGTGAAGACGATCACCGAGAATGGAGCTGCTGCTCGAGATAAACGTATTCAAGTTAACGATCAAATTATCGAAGTAGATGGGAAATCCCTCGTGGGTGTAACACAAGCTTATGCAGCTTCTGTATTACGTAACACGTCCGGCATGGTGCGTTTTCTGATCGGCAGAGAACGTGATCCGGTCAACTCTGAAGTTGCGCAACTAATCAAACAAAGCTTGCAGGCGGACAAGGAGCGCGAGGAACGATACCAGAGGTAACCATAATGATAATATAATTTTTAAAATATCAAAATGTTTAAGTCCTTAATTTATATCATTATCCTTTACTTTTAGATCGAGTCGCCACATGGTGGATCACGTTCGCAACGCATCGGACTACTCCGAAGATTCAACTTTACCTTTGTCTGCAAACAGTAGCGTGAGTGATGGTCCTTTGAGTCCGCCGGCGGTTGCTGCTCCTGGTGCTTGCGGTCCAGACTCTGTTTTCGAACCTGATGCATCTGCACTTACCGCCTCTACGGTGGGCGATGAACAAGATTCATTACGGATGTTGCTGCAAGAGGTTAGATGATCGATTCATTTTGTTTTGAGAGAAATTTTTATTTCATTTCATTTTGTGAAGAAAGTTGTTTTTTGCATGGTTTTTGCATATTGAGTTTTATTTTTTTATTTATAGTGTATGTATCATTTGTCTTTGATATCATGTTGTGACCATCATTGCACAAAAGAAATAGTTAGAATTTATTTTTTATAAAATTTTATTGGAACCAATCGGCGTGATTATTTTATTTATGGTTTTTTAAATTAAAATTATTGGTATAAGAATTTTAAATTAATTAAAATTATTTCTTTGTTTTTTTTACACGATGCAATGTGTACTGTGAGCATGTTTTATGTCGTAGCTTCATATTTAGATTCTGGTAAAAAAAATTGCTCTAATTATTCGACAGAAATGAAAATTAAATTTGTTATGTTTTCAGTTTATAGTTATTAGATATTAAATGAGTTGATCACTTACATTTTTCACTAGCTAGTAAAGTTTTAATTTGTTTGTTATAGTTTCACATGAATGTTTGTTTGCAATGCAACTTTGTTATCTTGTTTTCTTATAATTTGATTGATTGAGTGGGTGGAACAATTACGCCAATTAGTCGATGACTAATTACAAATTACTATTTTGTTTTGTAGTTTTTGTTTTTGTAGTGATTTGCTTTCAATGTTTTTGTGCTTGCAGACCGAATATAAGCTTGCCTTGTCAGACGAAGAACTGACCAAATTGAAAGCAAAGGTATGTGTTTTGTGTGCAACCATTATAACATATATTATATTATTAAATTAGCTTTAGTTATGGCATTTTTGGTTTAAACTCATTTTTTTTCATTTTTTTTTGTAATAATTATTTTATTGGGCCAATTCTCGGATACATTTCTTATGGCTCTAAAATGTTATTATAAGTGCAAAAGCTATTCTCAGTGACTTGTTTTATCCTTTAGCACCAACATTAAGAAGTTCCAAATAACATGCATTAAAACGTTGCACTTATAAATAAAATAATCGAACTAATGTTATTTTTGAATTTGTGCCATTTTATTTTCGATTTTCGGCTCATTACTATAACAACCCTACGGAAAGTTAATAAACAGAATAGGTATAGTTTTTAGATAGTTTTCTAAAAACCAACACATTGAGCCAACATCAAGAATAAAATAACGAGTAGTTGTATCGAGAATAGCAAATCTTTAACATACTTATTTGAAACACCGGAGACTGATAATATAAAATACTTATGTTATCCGAGAATAAGCTCATAACTCTTACCTCTTTTTTATTTCATTTTATACAATTTTTTATATATTTCATATAAATCATATAACTATATATGTTGCCGTGAGATTTTAGCATAATCATAAATTACCTTTATCATAATTATATTAACTTGTCGATTTTGTTACTAATCGCTTTTAAATTAATAAATTCCTCTATTTGCTCGCCTTAACAGCTTGTGGAATTAGAGAACAATAGTGCCGATAACGAAGAATATTGCGAAACATTACGACAGTCAAGTGCGAAATTACGAGAATCCGAACGAAATTTAGCAGCCGCTAAAAAAGAATTATCTACTTACCAAGAAATGTTAGAAAAGTCACAAGGTCAGTACGCCGTTCTTGAAAAGAAATACAATAGGGCCAAACGAGTGGTAAGGGAATTTCAACAACGAGAATTGGACATGATTCATCGTGAAGAATTTTACCAACAACTTCTGCAGGAGAAAGATACTGAATATAACGCTTTGGTGAAGAAGTTGAAGGACAGAGTTATCGAACTTGAACAGGAATTGCAGGTAATAAAAAAACTTACATAATGTTAAGATCTTCAAAATCTATCTAAATCCATCGAAATTTAAAATATATGTGTCTAAAACTTCATATCAGCTGTTTAATTATAAAAAAAAATCAGATGACTTCATCGTTATATTATAAAGGCAAAATTTGTTTTTAGTGTGTTGTTTTCTTATGAATGCTGATTTTAAACGTGATTAAATTATTTTGATTTAACTTGTGTGTGTTTGATTCATTTCATGAATTTCGTAACATGTACATAGTGTGATAACTAATTACAAAATGCTCTTAACACGTTGAGCCCGGCGCCGATTGCTGTTTTTTTTTTGTTCAGCCGGCATTGGCGAACAATCGGTTTACCATGTAACACATTTTTCTTCACAATGTATCAATAAATTCTATTAAAATTATATTTGATAGCATTTCATGAGAACTAATTTTATTTTTTGCTATCGATCACACAAACCTTCGAAAGAAAAAAGACATCGGCACCGACGTCGATCATATAGTCAGATCAAGGAAAGTTGACCGACGCCTGGATCAACATGTAAATACAATGTTTTCGGAAATTTAACTAATTGTTGATGTCCTTTATGATCAGCAATCAGAATCAATGTTGTATAAGCTGGTATAAATGTAAGGTGACCATTCGTCCCGGATTTCCACCTTTTGTCCCTTTCATTTTCAATTTTTCAAAAATTAACAAACATTATGAAAATAATCTTCTTGACTGTTTGGAATAAATGCTAGTTATTTTCAAATAATTATTAAGAAACTTGAACCAAATCTTATAATAAGTTTGAAAGCTGAAAAACATATAGATCCAAAAATATAAGATAAAATATAACATACAATCGAATAACAAAGTCCTTAGTCAGTAAATTCTGATTTAAAGAAAATACTCAGTTAAAAAACATCAATTTTTATTGCATTCTTATAGTATTTGTTATTTTAAAACCATGTTATATTTTTTAGCATTCATCCCCCGGATTAGAATAACTAAAACTCACCGTCCTGGTTTTGACTTTGCAAAAATATGGTCACCTTAGTGAATGAAACTTAATTCTATGCTAATTTTTATAAAACTCTTAGCAGGCAATCTAATTATTGTCCTTGCTAACTGATTTATATTTTATATGATTTATATTTAATTTACTTTTTATTGCTATTAGAAGGCAACTCAATGGTCATCATTTCCTATTGTGATTTTTTACATGGGTCTATATTTTCAGGTGAAAATTTGTCTTATAATTTATTATTCCTCATCAATTCTCATGCCCTCCATTTCCATTTATTTGAGTGCCAATATCTTCTTCTAGTTGAGATATTTGACTGATCATTACAGTTCCGAAATAACATTTTTGCTATCAAGACTTCTTTCATCATTCATTGTTATTTGAGCAATCGATCCCAATAAAATGGCAATCAAACCATTACGTTGCCAAGCACATCTATCTATCTATTTTTAGGACACGCAACGTAAAGCTGGACTTCCAATGAGTTTGCCATACGACAGTATGAGCCTGAAACAGTTGACACCACAATTGTCCAGAAGGGAACCTCCTAAACCATTGTTTAAACAATTGGGTAAGAATAAAATCAATACCAAAATTTTGCCCTAGTTAATTTACTTTAATGTTCTTTGTGTAATGTTTTCCTAATTATTTTTAGATACGGAATTATCAGACACCGAGTTGTCGGATGCTTCTCCTGAAGGAGAAAAGACTGCGACTGTGGAACGAAAACTTCCAGTAAAAGACGAATTAGATCGCGCCGTACCTCAGCATGATCTTCTCGACGTTTCTGCTAATAGGAGCAAAGGAGAACTTGGCCAAAGAGGCGGACTTGCCAATAGGCAACTGCCATCCCAAGGAAAGCGAAGTCTTAGCAATAGTAGTTCGGTGAGTAAACGAATTATTTAAATATTTCAGCCATTGAATTATTATATAAATTGAAACAAGGTAATCATTCATTACATGTTTTTTTTCATTCATTTAATTGTTTTCTTCTATTTTAGGACTATGGTCTTGATGAAAGCGAAGTCTCTTGCGATGAAGAAGCTCCAACTGAATCGACTTCTGTATCACACACTGAAAGTTCTGTATCAGAACTGCACACAAATTCTCACAGTCTGCCAACGCAAAGATTGGCAACTCCCGTAAACAATACTCCTTCTACTTACAACTCTGTCACAAATACCTCAATGGAACAACAGAACTCATTGTATCATTCCACTGAGCCCATTTATACTAAAGAAAAGGCAATTTTATCACATCACTTACATAATAATAGTACTGGTTACAGTACAACTACTGAAAGCTTATATTCACATGCTACTCATACCAGAAGTAATATACCATTGAATGTTGCTGCTAACGAGAATGATGTATGGAGCAATGGTGTAACTCCGGCAGTTGCCAAACCTGCCCGAGGACTTGGTAAGCATTTTATAGTTATTATATCATTTAGCTTTATTAGTATCGATGCAAAAAACTAAAGTTTAATCATATTTGTTCAGGTCCTCCATCATCTCTTGCTGAACAATTGAAACAAGTCTTAGCCGAACGTGAAAAACGGTTAACGATAGATGGTTCAAACGCTGGTGCTGCTGGTGATTATTCAGATCCTAGTAAGCAGAACTCTGCTTCATTGGTTACGCAACATCTGGTTGAAGAAATACGACAAGCAGTCAGTGAAGCTAATGCCAGAGGTAAAAATTATTAAAACATATTTGAGCCAATTAACTGTGATTTGATGTAAAAACTAGCTGTAAGTGGAATTCTGTCTTAAGGCAATTAGGGCATCGTGCCTTAAGGCAAATTGCTGGAACTTCCCGTACCAAAAATTATTATTTTTTTTAAAAACAATTAACATTTTTGAAAAAAAAATTACTTCGAAAAATAAGATTTTTGGAGAAACTATAAATTTGACAAAAAAATTACTTTTTTGAAAAAAAAAAAAAAAAAAAAAATTAAAATTTTTTTTTTAAATATTTTTTTTTGAAAAAAAATGTTTTCTTTATTTGACATTGTTGGAAGATCTGAACTTTTTTTAAAGCAATCGTACTGCTTTAAATGCATGGAGACAAAATATAAAGCGCGTAAGCGCCGCGTCGCTGTCTAACGGGTAAACATTGGTACGGAACCCATAGGAATGTAAACAAAATTCATACTTATTGCTAAAATCTCTATAAAATATCTGATAATTTGATGTGCATATGTCTAATGATCATTTTTGACCGCCAAAAGGCATTTTTTTTTACTTTTTTCGTTATATCTCCGAAACCGCTAAACCTGCCCTCATAAAAATTTGATCAAATCTTCATCTTGTCAATACAAGTACAATATTTTTTGAATTATTAAAATCGGACGCTCCGTTCTATTAAAAACTGAGGTACAGTTTTTGGCACATTTTGCCCCATATCTTCGGAACGGTTAGACCTGCCTCCGCCAAAAACTAATCAGCACGTCTCCTTATCAATACGGATCGAATGTTTTTTAAATTATTCAAATTGCTTCATCCGTGTTCCCGAAATCGTCGACGAAAATTTGTATCCGCATACACATACATACTACGCACACACACACACACACATACACACACACACACATACATCCATTTTTCTAAGGTATGCCAAAATATTCAGAAACCTCTGAAACGTAAAGATATATAAAAAATTTCATTTGCGATTTTTATGCGATTGCTATAATTTACCCTACGGGAGGTTAATAAATTATATTAATTTAATATATCGTCATTTATTTGTTACAGTAAAAAAGGTAGTTCCATGCAACCTGTCTCCGCCAGGATCAGTTCCTTGGTTGCAACAAGTTCCCGGTAGTCCATGCAGTTCTGGCTCAGTATCTCCTCTGGGCGGTGGTAACACCACTGATCACTCTCCAACTAGAAGTTCATCTATGGGTGATTCGTCCTGGTCGATTCATCAGCATCATTTGGCATCGTCGGCTCATGATTTGTCTACAAGCACTTCTAGTTTTGGTAGCGATAAAGTTCGTTCACATTTCTGGCAAAGCGCGCCTGTATCTGAATGGTCTAAAGAACAGGTAATAAAGAAATATGTATTATTATGTAATACATAATTACTTAGTTTTTTGTAAATAATTTTTTAATCAATTTAAAAAATAATTTAAACTAGTTGTAAAGTTCAAAGTTCTTCTTTTTTTATTAAATCTATGAGCTGTTCACAGACTTTTGGAAATAAATCCATGATTTCAGATTTTCAAACTGAAATTAAAATGTACGAATCTATTGAACTTTGAACTTAATTTATGAGTGATTTATAAGTATGCCGAGGTGGTGTAGAAAAATAAAAACAAATCAAGTCTCGAGTTTATTTTTACCAAACTTGGATTGGTAATTTTTGAAAATCACTAAATTTCTTTATTAGTGAA